GTCATCAGGAATCAAAGACAATGAAGTTTGGAAGGGGCATTTGGAAAGAATTATGTGTGCCCTGTTCCATACAGAACCAGAATTATGTGGTTTGAGTCTCTAAAGAATGTAACAAATTCTTTGTCAAATTTGCTGTAAACAAAGAAAAGTCTAATCAATTGGGCAATGCGTTATTATTCAAAGTTCACCCAGCTGTGTCATTTCCTGTTGGCTAAAAAGTGAGGACAAACTCCACACATGAGCAGTCAGTCACATGAGCAGCCAGCGCTAATGAGGAAAGAGGAGACCAAATTCTGCAGCCAGGGCTGGAGTACCCCAACCAAAGAGCCCACACAGCTTATTCCAATGCCCCTGGCAGGGCAAACAGCCATAATTTTAAGAGAAAATAAAAGATTCCCTTCCAAGGGAACAAATTCTGCCCAAATAATAAGTTCAATCGATTACATTTTATGAACCTTTTTTCCCTCAATTCCCCTTTCTCCAAAAAAACTGCCTACTACTTCTTTGATGTTACATAAGGCCAGCTGAGTGACCATCCCAGTGAAGAGCCAACTGTGAAAGTGGCAGCCTTCGGTACCGAGCAGGTTACAAGGTCACACCCTGCCCTTATCTTTATATCGAACGTGCTGTATTTACAGCTTTGCCATATCCACGATCTCATTAAATTCTCAGAGAAAATGCCTGTGACTCATATCCGTAGGTTCTGACCTAACGTGTCTGCAGGCATTCTGCGTGTTTCCTTGTTTTCATGCCATCTCTTTGCTTCGTTGAAGATGCCTGCAAGAGGCCTGTGCTTTCCCCTCACGGTGCACCTGCTCCTGCAGACACTTCAGCTGGGGTCTGAAGAGAGGCGGGCGGCCGTGAATCAACAGGATTACGCCGTCAATGCTCCACCCTGGGCCCGGGTCCCCACAAACGCTCTTAACCCGGACAGCGGGCTGTCCCCAGTGTGTTCTAAAGAAGAATCTTCAAAAGTAGGGGCACATGCTTTTTTAAGCAGTCCCCTTGTGCAACTGGAAGGAGGAAGATGTTATCATTCTCTTGCAGGGATGAAACTAAGGGAAGTAATTCAGCCAGCATTTGCCCAAGGTCAGACAGTGCCTTAGTTTCCCAGACTTTCACACTTGCTGTTCCCTGCTCACAGGAACAGAGCTATTGTTGTTTATCAGACCCCTGCGACCCCTAGAAGGCGATTTTCTGTCGGTTCGCCCCCTCCCTTTTTGGGTCAGATGGAAAGCAGTTTCTATGGGAGTGAGGACTTCCCCCTAATAAGTACAGGGTTAACAACAGAGGGAAAGCTTTTTCAGCTCAAACCTCTTTGGAAAATTGAATGCTGAATATATGGTTTGCTAACCAATCTATGCTGAAATATTTCCTTTTTTCTCCTCTCTTTTTTTGAACTTTGGGGAAAATTAGAGAAGAGAGAGTAATAAATAAGAAGACAAAGGAAGATAAACAGAAAGAATAGCAAAGGGAAGGACATTAGGCGATATACAGAGGTCGGCAAAAGTAGGTTAATAAAAATAATAAATAATACAATAATAAATAAATAATAATACAGGACTAAACTCTTGTGTTTCGTACATTCGCAATTGTAAATCTACTTTTGCCCACCCCTGTACGATCTCCTAGATTGGGTTTCACATTTTCCAAATGAATGTTTTTCTTAGGGAAAAACCTCTCATTGCAATCTAAAATTTTAGTATTTTCTAGGACTTTAGATATAATTATTTTTTTAATGTTTTAATTTATCTTTATTGTTGAAAGTATTACAGATGTTCCTTTTTCCCCCCATTAATCTCCTCCACCCTGATGCCCCCCCCCCAGGCATTCACCACACTGTGTGTGTCCATGGGTTATGCATATATACATATAAGTTCTTAGATTAATCTCTCTCCACCCACCCACAGAAAAACTTATTGAAGATGAGCAGTTTCATCAAGGGTTCAGTTATCAGAGTGACAGTTGCAGACCTAGAACTGGAGCCATTCATTCATTCCTTAATTAATTAATTCATTCATTCATTCATGTAAAAAATCATGTCACTACCTTGCTTCAGGCCCTCCTATGTCTAACTAGATATTGCCCCTAGAATAAAATCTAAACTCTATGACAATATCTCCATTGTCCTGTTATTTCATCCCCCCTGCTTCCTTCTGTTCTCCTACCTATTTTCTCCCTCCCTCAGTAGGCCCCAGTCACTCTGGCCTTCTAAATTCTGTTCCTTAAACCTGCCAAACTCTCTCCCTCTACACAATCTTTCCACTACCTGCTCCCTTGCTGGCTGATTTGTTCTCATCATTGAAGACTGAGCCTCCTTAGAGAGGCACTGCCGGGCCACTGGGCTATGCTGAGCCCCACCCTACTATGCTTTTTCATGCCATCCTGTTTTATCTTCATAGAGCTTAGCATCATCATTCTTATTTGTGCACTTCCTTCCTTATTTATTGTGCATCTCTTGTCTGGAATGTGCGCTCTGTGAGAGTAGCAAACAAGTCTGGCTTGTTTACTGTTATATTCACATTTCCTAGGACAGTGCCTGGCATATAGCAGATGCTTAATAAATATTTGTTAAACTATATGTAAAATAAATTTTAAAAATGTATATGTTGAATCCACCCACATGGAGTACTAGAAATTTAAAGAAGAAAAGGAAAGAATTCTTACCCTAAAAAGACTCAATTTTCTACTCTATTATACATCCATTAAATTTCACTCAGCAACTGGCAGATTCCTGGAAATTCAGGTAACCTGATTTCCAAAAATAGTCATCTACTCTCATTCCAGGTCTTTCATTGGTAAAGTGATTATGCCTCTCATTTTGGGTAGGGCACACCCTGTTTATGACTGTTGTTCTGACATAATCATTTCTCTCTCAAAATTGTCCCGGCTTATATGACTACACAGTCATTCTATTCCTTGTCAGCCAATTGATAATTATACTAATAATTGATAATTATTGCTAGTTAGAGTAGTTTAACCACACAGACGACATCAATTCAGGAATGTGGAAGGTCAAATCATATCTCTAGAAAAGGGCAACATTCTAAGTTAAAAATCTGAGGGAAAAATAGGGTGGATCTATTTTCCCAGTTCCAATTAGTGAGGCCATTAATAAGGCCAGGATTTCCCAAGAGACGTTCAGTAGTTTTGAGAAGTGCAAATAAGAGTTACATGCCAAATATAAAATAGGTTGATGATCCTTTATTGTGCCAGAAATTAATCTGCAAACTTCATTTACATTTCCTCATAATTATTATTATAACTCCTACTGTACAGAAGATGAAATTAAGGCTCAGAGAGGTTAAATAACTCACCCAAGGTCACACAGCTAGAAAATATGAAGTTTAGGACCCAAATACACTTTGTGATCTCTTGCCCTCAACTACTATGCCCATTGCTTCTCAAACAAACAGGTAAACAAACAAGTAAATAAGTTGATAAAAGGTCCCTATATTTAAGTTGATTTGGAGATACTGGGTTAAATAAATCATGCCAAGTAAGCTACCTTTCTACAAAACTTTCTTCTGTCTGCAACATGAACATGCCGAAGTACATCTTCAAGGAGTGGTATGAGCACAGTGTCTCCATCCCTGTTGGGCCATGGCCCCCTTTTCTGTGAGGAGGGTCAAGGTTCTGCGGAGTGCGCTCTGGCCAAGGCTGCTTCAGGAGTCTGAGCAGGGCCAGCTATCTTCATCTCTGAGGTCAGCCCTCCCTGATGTGCACCAAGAGTCCACAGCAGGCTCTTCCTTTGTGGGACTTCTTTTCTCAGCCCTGAAAGGAAGAGGAGACCATTCTTGGGCCTGAGACCTGAGCTTTCATGGTCATCGCGTCCAACACTTACATCTGTGCTTTTAACCACCTTTCGTTCGTTGTGCCTTTTTATTCCCCATACTGAACTTTTTGGTTTTTCACTTCATCTTCTTTTCATTTACAGGCCTAGAAGTCTTCATAAGGGAACCTTTAAGTTGGTTTTGGCCAATGTCCTTACTACTCAATAGTTGGAACCTGCTGACAATTTGGAGCACAGAAAATGAAGAAGAGAGAGAGAAAAAAAAAGAACTTCTCATAAGGACCAGAGAACAAGTTCACAGGCCAGTTTTAGTCCTCTGTGAGACTTTTGAGTTAGGTGAGTAGGGGGATGGAGTGGGGAGGAGGGGGGGTTTGTACCTGCATTTTCAGCTAAGCGTAATGTGTTTCTGGGTCCCGACTAGGGTGCTTCGATTCCAGGGTGCGGGAGGCTACTGAGAAAGGAACTAAAAGGCAGGATCTGAATCCCTCCTACCCAGGCTCGTCACTGCAGCATGGGTGATGGCTGACCTTGTGTGTTTGGGTCCCCAGGGTAGTAGGGTTGAGTTTCCAGTGGCTTTTGTCATTTACTGATGATCACCCTCCATTTTCTTTCTTCTCTGTTCCCGCCTCCCTTACCCAGTCTTTCTGGCTCCTCCCCAGTGACTGAACCTGACAGGTTTCAGAAGCCAGTCTATTCCTGTGACCCAGGCAAGCAGCTCCCACACCTGAGATAACCTGGCTTAGCGACTGTTTTATGGCCTATATACCTAAGGCAAACCTTTTTTTTCTACAAAAACAACCACTTAACCCTTCCCCACCCAAGACTTGCTTCCTATGTTTTTATAAGGATGTCTTAACCAGGGAGACAAATGTTTTTGTTTCATAAATGTTCATGCGGCTTCTGTAGATCAGTCCTTATTAAGACGTTTTTAAAATAATTGTAGTAAAAATCAGTATGCACACAGGTTCAGTTCTCCATCTCCTCCTGGGCTTGCACAGTCCAGTCCACCAGCAAAGCGTCCTTGGAGCGAAGTTGTCCCAGAGCCCTGGTCGGGGAGTAGATCCCGCGCGGTCACCCTAGAGGGCGCACTGCTTACATTGTCCGCGAGCCGCCAGACTGCGCTCGCTCCCAGGCTCCATAAAAGGGGAGGAGGCGGATCGGTTTCCTTCTCTCATTGAGAAAGAAGAGGATTGGAAGGCCGAGCGTATAAAGCCGGGCGGGGAGCGTGAAACAAAGCAGTCGGATCGGAATTGGACTTGGGGAACGTGGTGTGGAGTCAAGCGTAAAACTTGTTGGAGGGGAGTCACGAGCCTGCTCCTCCAGCTCTCCTCGTCCGAGCCGTGCTTCCGAGGTTCCCACCAGCTTTGCAATTTATTTTTTTATATCTGCTTTTTATAGAGAGAGAAATATATATATATATTTTCCTCTTAAAAGAAAAATTTCTGTTCTAAGAGACAATAAGACAAGATCAATGAAGGAGAGAAGAGCCAGCCAGAAATTATCCAGTAAATCGATCATGGATCCTAATCAGAACGTGAAATGCAAGATAGTAGTGGTGGGAGACAGCCAGTGTGGGAAAACCGCGCTGCTGCACGTCTTCGCCAAAGACTGCTTCCCCGAGGTGAGTGCGCGGCCCGGGCTTCGCGGAGGGGCGGCTCGCGGGGTCCCCGCTCTCCAGGTGGGTTTCCCGTTGCTTTACCTCTTCACCCATTTTCCAAAAGCTATCTTTCTCACCGCTTATTACTTTCCCCCTGGTTAGCCTACCTGGAGAGGGAAAGTGGGCAGGAAGCGTCTAGGGGTTGGGACGCGCCTGCACATCTGCTGGTAGCTCTGAAACTTGTCGGGTCTTGCGTGCGGAACCTGGGGTTGGGAGGTTTGGATCCCCGCGTCTTGGGGAGCTGGGTGGGGCGAGTGGGGAGTCAGACGGGGATTTAGGAAAGGGTCCTCATGTTTCTTGGGTGACTGGATTTTTTTTTTTTAATTTTTAAATCGAGGCAGTTTTTCAGAGGGTGTAGTGTGGCGTCGTACATTTTAAGATAACCTCTGTGCGCTCTTTCCTTCTGTCCGTTTTGTTCGTCCAGAATTACGTCCCTACAGTGTTTGAGAATTACACGGCCAGTTTTGAAATCGACACACAAAGAATAGAACTGAGCCTATGGGACACTTCGGGTAAGTCACCGGACCGCGCGGCGCTGTGGGCGGGTGTCCAGCGGCTCTGGGGTGCGTGCGGGTCCGGGGACCCGGAGCCTGGCGGCTCTCAGCACCGGCCGGCGCGCCACCAGCGCTCTGCCGCCGCTTGGTTAACGTCGTCCTTTCCGAGGGGTTCCCGAGGTCCCTGCTGGGTGACAGTTTTGCCCCTTCTGGGTGGGGGTGGGGGTATGAGAGTGCGGAGGGAAAAGCTCTGTGTGCCCGCTGGGTGACCCCGCGGTGGGAACCGCTTGTAGCCGGGCGGCCAGGGAGCGGTTGGCTCGCGGGGCTGTGCCGGAGTCGCCTCGCCGCTGCCAAGGTGGCTCCATGTCGGGGTGACATGTGCACCGCCTCGGAGCCACCTAGCTCCCGGCGGGCGCCCCTGCGGGATCTAACCTGCTGATTTTCTGGGACGCGGGGAGCACAGCGGGGACGGTGGGAAGTGGGAGGTGGGAGAAAATCCCTGAAGCGACGCAGTTGCAGTTGGATCCCGCCCTTGCGCAGGGCGGAGGGAGAGTCGAGCGAGCGCGGGCGGCACCGGCGCACGTGACGCCTCCGCGGGGAACGCG